ATATATATATATATATATATATACGCTTCTTCCGATCCCCTTTTCACAAAGCTACCAATAAGCACCATGTTGCCGGAGATAACAAAGGTAGTCATGTAGCTGTGTTATATCAGTTCGGACTAGAAGCTTGTATTTGTGTTAAAGCAAGTGAATTATACTGATGAGATAAATTTTGTTAATGCAACATAGGGTAACAATGTGGTAACTTTGGTAAATTTGTGGCATCTTACCTCCATCTGCCCTTGGCTGTGCAGCATTTGGAGCGTACATGGGGTTTTGGTGTAACACATTCCCGATGTACATGGGGTTCTGAAGTAGACCGTCCGTCTTACCGGCAACAGACTCTGCAGTCAACATTATAAGGACAGAAGTTCCCCAATGTTCAGCAGTGCTACTTTTGACTCGAAGAAACCTTTTAACTTAAGCTATTTAACACTAGGAATACCCATCTGGGCAAAAAGATGAAATAAAGATTCATATCATTAATAAATAATATGCTAACTATATTATCTAATCGCACTCTGTAGCTAAACAGGCTAATGCCTTTCAGAGGATGAACGATGAAACTACGAATAAAACATAAACTCAATAATAAAAAAAAATCGATGTCCTCAACAAGAAATTGTAGTGTTAAACGATACGTATTAACTATGTCACAGCCATACGTAAATAATCTTTTCATGATTGAAATTTTGGATAATGAATTTATTGTTTACATATCATGGGTTGACAAGTCTATTAATAATAATATGTTGTAACTGTCACGATCATACCGGCTAAACTAGTGTTGGGTCCCCTCCATTCGCCATGAGAACAATCAGCAGACTGGCCAGTCGGTTGTTGATCGTCATAATTTATATCCTGTTCATCGTAAGCAACGGCGTAGGGCTGGACGTCAAACATATCGTCTTCTTCACCGTTTGTTTTGCTGTCCGGTTGGTGCGCGACTGCATACGGACGAATACAACTATCGTCTGCAGTGACTTCCTCCTCTAATTCAAATTCATTCTGATAAGAGTTTTCAGCATCCTCTAATTGCTTGGCGACAGGCTGGTCCAAGCCTTCCGCTACTCTTTTTGAGCAATCAATGCCTATGCTTGCCTCGTCTACATCTTCACTGCATTGGTAAGCAATAGATGATACTTCGTTAACACAGGTATCCCTTAGCTTGTATTGTCCTACGTTATTTTCGTTATAACCTTCGGCATCGTAGATTTCAGTTGACGACTGTTGTTCTGCCTTTTCCTGTGAATTATCAGCACAGAGTGCTTGATTTTGTTTAACCGGGTCACGGTGTGTATCCGATGTACACGTTTCCGGTAACGAAGGCTTTTCAGAGTGAAAAGCTTGATTCTGGTCAGTTTTCCCGATGTTTGTATGAGACGGGCCTACAGTCGGTAGCGATGGACGCTCTGCCCCGTCGTCAGTGCTGTGACCAGGTACATGGTCCTGGGCAGAGTGTTCAGCCGAAGCGCCGCTAAGAGCATCCTGTAGTGACTCGTTCACATCCCCGGGCGACGTGTCTTTCCGCTCTTCTGGAATGGTTGAGTTCAAGTGTTGCTGAATGTCCTGTTGGTTCACAGGGCTTGATGTAGACATAGAAAAATCGCAGATTTGAGTTGGATTTGCAACTGTATCACCATATCATCCATCGTATGACGGAGTCAAAGCAGTGATATTCGTGCGCACTGACAATATCACCAGTAACGTTGGAGCTCCTAAAACCGTACGGACCGAATAAAAATCTGTTTATGATTTTTCTGTGATTTGTTACAGGCTACTATGGTTTTATTGTACTCGTTTACACATAAATATGAGTGTAGACTAATTTTATCCCATTGGGTCAGTAGACAATCATCGCAATAATTTGTTGCGCCGATTAGTCTAGTCAATAGCTGAAACTGATGAATACGCAACAGAAGATTCTGTAATTAATTGCTATGTTCGGGGCAATCGATTGTAACTTTAATGTTTCAATAATGTATATATTGTGTACACGTCTGTTTTTAAGCTGGCGAATAGCACGATTGCTACTATCTGTATGCCATATGTAGATTTTGAGAAAAAAACTATGCCCAATGCCCGTTTAATTTTAATTACGTATTATTTTTACTCTACCGCTTTTTATCTGTATTTCTATATAGGGGCCTCAAATCGGCCTACAAAACTCTTTATTGAGGTCATGAAGGAAGATAACGTTCTCTTCTTCGCAAGCTCCGAATACTATGTTTCCCGTTTTTCACAAACACACACATTTAGGGTAGTGAGCTCACCGTCACAAAAAAACCCTGGAGACCGCAGTTTTATCAAGAGATGGTAGGTGTCTCTCTTAACAGTTGGTCATGCTCAGTAGAGTTAAGACCATTTCACGACCCCCCAGCAGTTTGGGCGTCGGCCGCCTTAGCAACACATAGATACAACCTTTGACCCTTAATTTTCCAGATTTTTCCTATTGTTTGATAATTGCCCTGACCCTGCCCAGTGTGAAAACATTGCAAGAGGGGTGCCGGTGGACCAGGTGAAGTGATACCTGGGCTGTCTGGGAACAGTGCTGGATGTGTATTATAATTAACAAAGGAATCCATATATCTAGTGTTTCTAATTTGTGTGATTCTCAGATCTCAACATTACTCACTGGTCGATTGTTCTGTCAAATGTGACATTTTCATTGCAAATTTCCTAACAAGGCATAAAACCTATAACACTGAGAGACTTTAGTAAAGGAGAACCTGAGTATATTTATCATAAACACCAGGGGTAATCAAAAGTCTGATAACCCTCCATGTTTTTCTGGATTTGATGCCGTTTTGTTTGTTTTGATGAGCAATTTTCATTACAGGACTTAGGAGAGTACTCTTATACTAGTGTATAGACTAGTAGTTTGACATAGGTAAAACCTTTCACACACTTTCTTTCGAATTTTGGTAAGTTGTAGCAGCTCTATAGAACCTTTTTGCGTCGGGGAACAACAGACGATAAACTGGATAGTGAGTGCGCCAGTGTAATCAACTTGTTAAAAAGCTTACTCCAACCAAATTATAGTTATACTTTTGATGTTATCGACTTGTTCCTTATGTTGTTGTAGAGTATGTTGGATCAAGAAATGGATTTTTGATAGTCTTTTTCTAGTCATAGTAATTGGAACCCTGAAACAATGGTTGTTTGTTGTTGATAAACCAAGCCAAGCTAGCTGTCTGGCACTAGCAGGTACAGGTGTGGACAAGCCGTGAACTGCCTATTGTTCTCCTCGGGTAGTCTGGTCCCCAACAAGGAACATGCTATGTCAACAAGTTAATTGGCTGTATTGTCCACTTATCCCAACAAAGTGATCAGATTTCAGTTCATAAGAAGCCAGAAGTTTAATTTTTGTGATCTTATTTTTGCCCTAAAAGCGCATCCACACACAACATTCTTTTGAGTTACTGAACACATTTATAGAAAGTAGACAAGTTGTTCTACAACACTGTGTCGGGCCCAGAGTGCACAACATTTCCAAGACTTTGCTGACCCTGTATGAATATTGCAAGCATGTGATTTTTGCCAAAAATCTGAACATATTAGATAATATGTCTGTTGTAATAACAATGATACACCTGGGATCGATGGGATGTTATAGAGTTTTTACTGACGAATACATACATACCAAATTTGTTTAAAAAGTTTGTCTAGGGGTCCCGCCGGGCACTTGAAGTTTATAAATTTAGATGTGCTTATCATATCAATATTATAATATTAGCAAGTTATTCACAAAATTTATGTAGGCAGAGAGATTGCCTTTGACCTTGTGCTTTAGTAGTTGTCGGAAATGTCAGAAAATAACCACCCAATAAGTGTACCCATAGTACCCAGAAAGTACTATTGCCATTAGACGTTGATAAAATGAATTATGAAAAGTATATTTATTGATACCACTTGATAAAAAAAATCCACATAAGCTTTGAAAAGAGCTATATACATAGCAGTATACTAATATATACAATGTGTATCGTCTTTTATTGATTTTCTGCACACATTTGTACATGTTCACGAGAGCCCCGGGGCCCATCCTTCCAGCCCTGGCTTCACCATCAGACTTAAGAGCTTTTTTTCCGCCCTGTCGCGTCATATTTTTCAAGAAAAACTCCGAGAACCAACAAATTAAATTGGTGTGTCCTAATGTAGATAATGATACAGGTCTACATGGTGCCGAGACCAGCACGGGTAAAAACGTGCCAATAAACTACTGAAGGTAGACTAGGTGTCACAACAGGACTATGTGTAAATTAACTGATATATCCAAATGGATCAGCATTCAGTACTGATAGAATATTGTGATATTACTGGTGTCAAAATCAGTCACTACCAGCTGTCCGCCGGGGGCTACTGCCACGCCGCCAGCTCTACTGGGAACAACGCGGCGCACGTACCGCCCGTCTTCTGTAAATATGTCTACCGCCCCGCCTGACCGGACCAGCAGAACGTTTCCTGAACCGTCTGTACAGATTCCCGTTACTTCGTCTGCCTCATTCTCGTCGGCTTCTGTTATACCATCTCCGATTTCTGTCTGACCCTCGCCCATTTCTGCCTGACCCATGCCGATTTCTGTTGAACCCAGGCCGATTTCTGCCTGACCCTCATCGAT